GGGTCAATCGGGGTTGTTATGAGCCAGTTGGAACGGCACCCGCTGGTTGCCTTGGCAGTACCAGCGGTTATGTTTATGAAAGTTGGCAATCAGAGGAGGTCAGCAAATGTGGGGCGAAGTGGCTTGACACCAAGGAAAGAACATGGCATGCAGGATAAAAGCAAATACGCTTTTTAAGGCTTCAAACGGTTTTGCTTTAATTTGTTGATATTACAAATCGTTTGTGGATGAGACGTACGATTACCGCTAACGACAACAGAAGTGTTAGGTGAAATAGTAAACGTTTACAAAAATTCTAAAACGTGCCAGACGTTTGAGCTGTCTACTGCGGCGATCGGTTGCCTGGGGTTGACAGTCAAGTGTGCCGCAGGGTATCGGGGTATCCAGTGCCCGGGAAGTCACCACAGGTGCGGGTGCTTGTGTGATGGCCTTAGGATGGGTTGCAAGTACTTCGTCAACGAAAGCCACTTTGTGGTGGTCTATGGACTTTGTTGTTTGGTGACCGTCCTGATCTAATAAGAAGTTTTTCGGAGTCCGTTGCAAGGCTGTGGAAGAGCCAGTGTGAGGAGGCTGAAGGCGGCGCCGCACGGCGTCCGTGCGGAGGAAGACGTGAAGGCAGGTAGATAGTCCGCTGTGCATATGTGCGCGTCACTACTCTGCTCACGGGGTGAAGGGGGTAGTGAAAGCATGCATAGAGCTAGGGAGGACGCCAAGTTAAGCAGAGACACACTGTACGATGGGGGAGGTGGAACGATTTCTCCTGGCAACTTTAGCGTTGTGACGTAAACTAACTCTGCCGGTGCACAACGCAAGTAAATTTTGAGGTTGCCGCGAATGATTGCGAGTATGAGCGAAATGCGTTCGCTCCAGCCAGGGTCGAAGGAGACGAAGAGCGCGGCTTTTATCTGTCTATGGAAGCATTCAACTAAATCGTTAGCTGCTGGGGATACGCTGTGTTAAGAATGCGAGGAAAACCTGAAATGTTGCAGAAGGTATAGAATTGTGAAGTGTTGAATGACTTATTTCGGTCAGCTGTAATGCTGGGTGGGCCTCCGTTTTGTAAAACCCTCTGATCTAAGAAGGTCCGGATAACCGTCACAGCTGTGCCGTCGTTTGGTGAATGTCTTCTAGCCACCTGGAGTAACGGTCGACAAATGTAAAAATATATGAATACGCGTAATTGAAGCACGGGACATGCCAGGTCTAAGTGTACACGCAAGAACCGACAGTCCGAGGAGAGAAATGTGCCAAAAGGACTGCGGGTGTGACGATGCGTCTTTGAGCGCTGGCCTTGAAGGTATGCGCGAACTTAGGTACGAACAAGTTTGGTTATGCTTGTCCAAACGAAACGTTCGGTGACCGGTTTCAAAGCTGCACAGATACCGGGATATGATAGTGGGCTCAGTGCTGCAAAGACGGTGCGTCCGAAAGAGACGAACACGAGGGATCTAGGATAACCTGTGTAAGCACCACAGGAAATGCTTCCTTCCGTGGTTTGTAGAGGAACAGGTTGTATATGTAACGAAGTTGACTGCAGCGTGCACTATATGTCTTCTTTTCGAATCTCAGCCGGTGCCATGTCGGCAAGTTCGACAGTAGGCAAAGATTGGAGAGTGAACTTGAAGCGTGCGCTAGCCTCGGCGACAGGATTATCGCCACCTGATGCATGACGTATGTCGGCAGCGAACTGCGTGTCAAAGTCTGGGTGTCTTGTTTCCTGTAGTGAATATTTGTCTCAAGCAGAGTTGAAGACGAAGGTGGGGTTGTGCTCAGTGTAGACCGTAAAAGCGCGGCCCTTGGTTGTGTGCCGGATGCGACGATTTATTAGACCAATGGCCAGCAGTTATCCATCTAACCGCCTGTAGCTGGGTTCCGCTGGCTGCAGGTGTTTGGAGAAGAACACAAGTGCTTGCCATTGCCCAAAACACAGGTTGTTGGCGGTCGGCTACTACCGAGAAGTCTGAGGCATCAGCAGTACTAGCAGGAGGTGCAAGCGATTCGGAATGAGCGTGGAGGGCTAGGTTGAAGACAGCAGCTTTAATTTCGGCTAGGGCTGTCAGTGCTATGTCAAGGACAGCGAACTTACATTAATTCCCACTGAGTAGGTCAGTCAAAGGTTGCAGGAGCTGAGCGCAGTGTGGAACGAAACGTCGGTGAAAGATGACTAAATCACAAACTCGACAGTGCTTGAACTAAGGCGGCGATAGGACGTCCTTGATTGCCCGGACTTTATCAGGAAGGACTTCGATACCAGAGAATGAAACGAGGCAGCCTAGGAAATCTACCATCGCTTGGTAGAGTTCGCATTTAGTCGGGTTGACTTTGCCACCGCGTTGGGTCAAACGCTGAAAAAGCGTTCGAAGATGCTTGAGGTGCTCTCGTTCCGATTAACTGGCCAATAAATATCATCGAGGTGTAAATCAAGGAACTCTAGGCCACGTGTGACAACTTGGAGGAAGCGTTGGAAGTTATGTGAGGTGTGATACAGTCCAAATGGCAGCCTTAGGAGTTCAAACAAGCAGAAAATAGTGAGGACTGCTTTTGTAGGAAGGTCATTTTCTTCTAAAGTCATCTGGTAATAGACGCCAACCAGATCAATCTTGCTGAAGGTCGTCTCACCAGCGAGGCATGCGGTAGGCTCCTGCATGTGTGGGATGGGATAGCTAACTGGGACGATTAGCGAATTAAGTGCACGGTCATCACCGCAAGGGCGCTGGTCACCAGATTTCTTGATGAGCATCTGCAAGGGTAAAGACCAATAGCATGTGCGCAAACTCCAGCGTAGTGACCTTTAAATGCTCGAACAATAGTCGGCGTGGACTGCGTGAGACGAATGCGCCATTCGTTCGTCTGTGGTGCCTGAATTGGGATGCCGAGGGCAAAGCTGCGTTCATTGGCTGAAAGAGCTTAAAATATTGTGAAAATATTTTGTCCTAGTCTAGCGAGGTTTGGGAAAAGGCGTAGACCGGTGTTATGGATGCGATATCGGCGGTGCTGTCACGTGCACTGGGGTTCGTTGCCGTGTCGACCATCAAGTTGCACTTCACATCGACCAAGAGGTCGAACTGCCTGATAAAGTCAATGCCGATGAGGGCAAAGGCGACTGCACCGACGGTGAATACCCAGCGGAACATGCACGGAAGATCTAGGCCTAGGGTAAGCAACTGATGACCGTAGGTGGCTATTGGTGTACCACTCACAACACCTAGGCTTGTCGACAAAAACGCGGTAGGCTGACCTGGCATAGGGGAACGACGTTGACTTCCGCCCTGATATCAACTAATAATTGGGCCTCGGAGTCACAAACCTTAATGTAGCTGAGACAACGCTGGGCATTACGAAGGTCGTTCGTGGCAATTGTAGGCCGTCGTGGAGGAGTACTATAGTTGAGTAGCTACACGGCTCTACGCGCTTGCAATCTTTATTAAAGCAACGCCGGTGGTGAAAGCACCAACCTGGAGTATCAGGTTTTGTGAGACGGGGCGCTGCTCTAGAGCGGCTGCGGTACTTACGGGCTCAAGTGAGCTCCTCGATCTGGCGCTAAAGCAACACTATCTGTTATGATACTGCGTCTATTGCCGGCGGCTGGCTAGTTGCAAGTGTCGGTGTGATGTGCCAGCACGAAGCTGCCTAGTCGCTCTCGTTTCAACCTCTGGCTGGCGCCGGTTGATGTTGCAATCTGCCAAATCGGCAATTGTTGTGCTTGGCAAGTCACTTGCTACTGACAGGATAGCCTAAGTGCTTTCAGGAAGGTGATACACGCACCGCACGCGGAGAGTCGTTAAGTCCATTTTGGATGTGCCGATTAGCTGTTGCATTTCGAGTAACTAGACTGAGGGCATGCTGCCTTCTAGTATGTCTCGAAGAATTCGAGAATAAAATATCTATTTATTTGTTTACCTAGTTGCAAATCACTAAATAATGGCAGCAGCCGGACCTTGTTAGAAGGTGTGCTTTGTTGAAGAAAGGTCCATTTATGACTGCCGCTTTCCACTAAAAGCTGGTGACAAAATAGGATGTCACTCACCTGCAAGGCTAAAGTCTGAGGATGGTGCGATATTAGCCGAATCTACATGGCGACATCAGAAAAAATCCTAAGGAGGCAAAACGTGGACTCAAAATTCAAATATCATAACAAAGGATAAATCGCCCAAAAGGTTGAGGATCTAACGCTACGGCGATAAACGCGTATGCAGGGGCTTAACCTCTATACAATTTTACACGCGTATTGGCGTATTGTACTAAGCTTTTAGCGTGGTTCATTTTCGAAATAGCGTGCGGTACTTTCAAGTTAGCGAGGCTGAGAACGCTGATTTGGTGTCCTTGACACTCTCATTGGTTATGGGACGTAAACCAATGGGACACCGGTTAGAAGCTGCCAGTATAAGAGACAGACAGTCCAACGAAAGTGGTCGACCACCACCTTCTGTTCTGCCTTGATGCCCCTCTGGAGTAAACCTCGATGCCCCTCGAGTAAACCTCGATGATTGGTCTCCAATCTGAAATCGACCAATAGGCAAATTGTGATGCGTGTCAAAGGAGGAGATGCTAGCTACCACATTATCCAAAACTTAAGACTTAACCAGTGTGGACAGACATACTAACCAGCACATGAAGCGGTCTATGGCGATCACTGGCGGCTACCTAATGGTGGCTTATTCAGCGGCCTAACTATGGTGGCGTAGACAGGCAACCATCTAAATGGTATTCCACAGTGCAGCAATGGCTGCTAGGCGGTTGGACAATTGTGTGCGAATGTCATTGCAACGATCCTGTGGGACATAGTTCCCACAGAAGTTAGTAGACCAACCTGAAGCTGAACAACGAAAATTCTAAGTTTACTTAATTCGATCACAGTTGATGACTCAACAAAAAGTAATAGGATTCCAAGTGGGGCGTTGACACGACGTTAATGAGTGTTCGTTTGTCTCCTAACCCATAAGAGGCTTTGTTAGTCAGTTATCACTTCAGTGCCTACACGTATCGCGTTATATAAAGGTCATAGGAACCTGTAGTGGACTCGGACCCAAAGAGAAATAAAGATGAATAAATGATGATCAAAAATGACAAGACTCACAGAAGGGTTCCGACGTGGGTTAGAAGTCCAACCACATAAAACTTCCTAGTCCTCTTGCGTCAGCAACTCCGATGGATGACAAACGACGATGGTGAAACCAGTTGAGGCGGAACGAGATCTGTGAATGAATATTGCTCGAAGTTAGAACGTAGTGATCGACAATGCCATAAAATCCGCGACACTAGGACACAGAGAGAACACGTCGAGTTGCCCGCGTGGTTCAAAAAGTGTGTTATTTATCAATCAAAACAAGTGTACAAGGTTAATGTACAAGAATGGGTTGTAATAGGAAAGGAATGTACAATGAAAGATAAGTAAATTTACAAGCGCTACAGAACTCCCCCCCTAGAGCGTTGGAAAGAGAGAAAACGCTCGATAGTATTATTGTGTGTAGTCGCGGAAACGCACAGGAGTTTTGTTAGTCCTACCAGAACGAGTATGTGTTGTAGGGGGTTGTGGTAAACAGGTAGAGTCTGTAGGCGTAGTTGTCGTTGGATGCATACGAGTACATTCGGTACGAGGATCAGTAGCAGAGGAGGATGAGTGTGAGAAAACCGGAGTGGAGCTGGAACAATCATCCAGGTAGGCAACTTTCAAACGATCGAGACTGACAGAATCAGGCGTGCCGTTACGATCGACAACGTAATACTTGTCATGTCGCGAAATCACTTTGAATGGCCCTTCATAAGGCGGTTGCAGGGGCTTGCGAACAGCATCAACGCGAACGAATACGAAGGGGCATGAATGTAAATCCTTATGAACTTGAGGTATGCGTGATGTCCTTCTCGTCGGCGTTGGCTGGAGCTGACTCATATGATGTTTAAGCCGGGCGACATATGAAGTGGGATCAGATTCACCGGTGATTCTGGAATCGACGATCATCTCACCAGGAAGTCGAAGCGTTGTACCGAAGGTAAGCTCGGCAGGAGAGCAGCCGATGTCTTCCTTGCTTGTGTTGCGTATACTGAGCAGTATGATAGGTAAGGCTTCGTACCAGGATGTAGCGCTGGCTGTTAAAGCTGCCTTCAACTGTCTATGGAAACGTTCCACCAAACCATTAGATGCAGGGTGATACGCGGTAGTGCGTAAGTGGTTGCATCCCATGAGGCGGTTTAAGTCACGAAACAAGGTGGACGTGAACTGTGGTCCTCTATCGGTGGTAATGGTCGCAGGTACACCAAAGACAGATGCCCACGATTCAACGAAAGTGTGAGCGACAGTTTCGGCAGAGGTATCACGCAATGGGACTGCATGCGGCCATCTTGTGAAACGATCAACACAAGTTAATAAGTGCGTAAAACCGTTTGAAGGAGGCAATGGTCCAACTATATCCAGGTGAACGTGTTTAAAACGCGCGTCTGGAAGTGAGAAAGTTCCTGGAGTGGTAATGGTATGACGATGAACTTTACTCTTTTGGCATTGAATACAGGATTTTGCCCATTGCCTGATGTCAGTATTCATGTTTGGCCAAATATAGCGATCCGTGATGAGCTTAACGGTAGAACGGATGCTCGGATGGGAAAGGCCATGAAGATGATCGAAAATTTTCCGCCGGTACGACAATGGGACGTATGGACGTGGCTTACCGGTGGAAATGTCACAATGTATTTTCGAATCACAGTGAAGCAAGGGTAACTGGACGAACTTCAGTGCTTTGTTATTGCGAACAGATTCGAAATCAGAGTCAGTGATTTGTGCAGCAGCAATGTCCTCTAAGTGGATGGACGATGTCGACAGTTGGTGAATGTCGGTGCGGGATAACGCGTCAGCGACAATGTTGCCTGGCCCCTCGATGTAGTGGATGGCAGAGGTAAACTGCGAGATATAATCAAGATGCCTTGTCTCCCGAGGAGAATAGCGATCAGCTGGCGAGTTAAATGCGTAGACAAGTGGCTTATGGTCAGTTAGAACGATGAAGTGGCGTCCTTCGAGGATGTGGCGGAAGTGCTTAATGGCGAGGTAAACAGCAAGAAGTTCACGGCCGAACGTGCTGTACCTGGTTTGAGCCGGCTGGAGCTTCCGTGAGAAGAAGGACAGAGGCTGGACTTCGTTGTCTATGACCTGTTGTAAAACGGCTCCGACGGCTGATTGCGACGCGTCGGTTTTAAGTACTAACCTGGTGCTGGCGTCTGTGTTCAGATGGCTCAGCGAAGTCGCGGTTGCTAGCGTTTGTTTGGCTTTTTCGAAAGCAGCTAGAGCGTCGGGTGACAGAATTAGCTTTCTCGGGTTACGCTGCAGTAAATCGGTGAGCGGTTTTAGGACATCGGAACAGTTAGGGATAAAACGACAGTAGTAGTTAATGATACCGAGGAAACGTCGGAGGCTCTTTATGGACTGAGGCACAGGGTAGTCGGTGATGGCAGTGACCTTGTCCGGAAGTGGACGTATACCTGTGGAGTCGATGTGATGTCCAAGAAAATCGATGCTAGGCATGCCAAAAATGCACTTAGCAGGGTTGATTGTGACACCAAAATGAGCTAGACGTTGGAAAACCTGGTGTAAATGAGACAGATGTTCCTCTTCGGTTGCGCTGGCTACCAAAATGTCGTCGATATAGGCAAAGACAAAATCAAGACCACGAAGGACTTGGTCAATAAATCGCTGAAAAGTCTGGGCAGCGTTTCGGAGACCAAACGGCATACGGAGAAACTCGTAAAGACCGAATGGCGTCGTGATTGCGGTCTTAGGTATGTCTTCTGGGGCCATCGGAATCTGGTAATACGCGCGGACTAGATCAATTTTAGAGAAAAGGCGTTTCCCGTATAGACTCATGGAAAAGTCATGGACGTGGGGAATTGGATATTTGTCTGGAACAGTGGCGTTATTTAGAGCGCGATAGTCGCCGCATGGTCGCCAATCCCCTGTGGATTTCTTTGAAACCATGTGAAGTGGGGATGACCATGGGCTATTCGATGGACGAATAATGCCTAAATTCATCATGTGTTGAAATTCAGATTTGGCAATGGCGAGTTTGTCGGGAGCAAGACGTCGTGGTCTGGCGGTGACAGGATTGCCTTTAGTTTCGATGTGATGGCGGATTTCGTGTTTGGGCTGAAAGTCGTCGCTGATCGGTTGATAAATGGACGGAAACTGGCGCAGAAGAGCAGTAAACTTATTGTCGGAAGGCAGAGCCAAACGAATGCCAATCGAGTCGATAGCGAGGACTTTGCCGGAGACAGTAAGTGAGGTGACGCTATCACGGAGTTTCCTGTTTCCGAGATCAACGATGATGCCAAACTTCGTCAAGAAATCGATGCCAAGAATGGGCTTCTGCACGTCGGCGATTAAGAAAAGCCAAGGTAGTCGACGTCGGAGTCCCAGATCTAGGGTTAACAGTTTCTGACCGTACGTCTGAATTTTCGTACCATTGGCCGCCTGGAGTGTGACATGCCCCGGAGAAAGTTGGCGTTTTTGTGTACCTACGGGTATGACGCTAACTTCGGCGCCCGTGTCGACGAGAAAACGGTAGCCGGTTGAGTTGTCAAACACGTGGAGAAGGCGACTATGGTGTTGGCCAGCGGCAGCTGTCGCCATTACTGGCTGGCCAGCGAGTTTCCCTGTTGGTTCTGTAAGCGAAAGGCTTTAGGGTGCGAACACCACGGCCTACAGTTCCGTGCAGCATCCCCAAATCGTTTGTGAAAATAACAGAGACGATTCAGTTGGTCACGGTTGGAGGGTAGAGCACGTGTGTTTCGGCCAGGTGATACACTTCGACGACGGTTAAGACGTTTGGTGATGATGGAGACTTGGGCGGTTAGCTGTTCTATCTGGTTCTGCAGCCTATCCATTACAGACGTACTTTCAAACGCGTTAGTAGGCTGCGAGACCTGATTAATGGGATGCTTGAAAAAGCATTCATGCACCTTGTCGGCTAGTTCAGCTAACTTATCAAGCGAAATTTCATCACCTTGGACGGACAAAATCAGGACGGTATTAGGTGGTAGACATTTAGTCCAAAGTTGGCGCAGGACTGAGTCATCAACTTTGTAGCTACCAACTAAAGTTCTCATGTGTCGCAATAGCTGTGATGGGGAGCGGTCGCCAAGTTCAACACCAGATAGGAGTTGCTTTAAGCGAGACTCGTCAGAAGCGGTTGTGCGTTTTAACACAGCGGCTTTAAGGGTATCGTACGGAAATTCTGTTGGCATGGGGTCTAGGACGTCGATCACCTCAGTGGCAATATCCGTAGGGAGCTGAGTAGCTACATAGGAAAACATAGTCTCTTGTGTAGTAATCCTACGGAAACGGAAATATGCCTCGATTTGCGTGAACCAAACACGAGGATTAGATACACCAAAAGCAGGTAAATTAAAGGAAATGTGGTTTTCACAGGGAACCGTACTCATACTAGGTTTGGATTCCATAGTAGTCGTGCAAAAAAAATTGGGAGTTCTGAGCTTACAAAAAAATGAAGTACTAAGAAAAAATTCGGGGTCACCAATTATGTAGTGGACTCGGACCCAAAGAGAAATAAAGATGAATAAATGATGATCAGAAATGACAAGACTCACAGAAGGGTTCCGACGTGGGTTAGAAGTCCAACCACATAAAACTTCCTAGTCCTCTTGCGTCAGCAACTCCGATGGATGACAAACGACGATGGTGAAACCAGTTGAGGCGGAACGAGATCTGTGAATGAATATTGCTCGAAGTTAGAACGTAGTGATCGACAATGCCATAAAATCCGCGACACTAGGACACAGAGAGAACACGTCGAGTTGCCCGCGTGGTTCAAAAAGTGTGTTATTTATCAATCAAAACAAGTGTACAGGGTTAATGTACAAGAATGGGTTGTAATAGGAAAGGAATGTACAATGAAAGATAAGTAAATTTACAAGCGCTACAAACCTATGTATTCTTAGGATAATTAGGCTTCACTTCCATATGATCGCCCATACGTGTTGAGACGCTTTCACAAGTGGCTCTCCAAATGGAACCATTAGAAGCACAGTCAATGCAGATGAAACTTCCCTATTGCGTCAATGGACTGGCATGCTCTCCTCAAACGATCGGCATTACTCAACAAAGTAACACTTAAAGGGAGCCACCATGACTACGGTGTTTATACATGCCACAACGTCCTGCTAGAAAGAACGCAAGACCTATGATTAGTGGCGACACAAGCATGTTACTCTGATACTTCAGGTGGGTACTTGGATCAGATAAACACTGTTATCTCACCCACGGGCGTTCCTACAATGTGTTTGCAATCATTTACAAAGGCAACCGCGCCCACTAAGCCGGCTATGGATCACTGTTTCAGCTAGTTTTAGAAGCATTCATGTATGCACGCCGTGACACAGGTTGTCAGCGACTTAGCAACTACTTGGAAACATTTTGTCATTGGCAAGTAGGTAAGTCCAGTGACATTGTTGAAGGAGGAATATTTCTCCAAACTCTATGCTTACTATGCGTATGCAATGCTCGTAGGCACCTCATATCAGGGCCGTAGGTTCACTTGAGTTTTAAAGCTTATCAATCACTTGGAAGTGAAGGGTACATATCATGTTGAAACGCAGGATTGACATGCACTTTACGACCTTAACATAACGGCAGGACCACGGGCCCTGTAGCGGTAACTGATTACCGAAGGGGTCCACAGGTGTGGCGACGAACGAACACTCACTAATGTCGTGTCACCGCCACACTAGGAACCCTCCTCTCTGGAACAATGGCTACAGATGCAATGATGATCTTACCTACGCAGCGAACTTGATCTTAGTATACAATGCGCCGACTACATATGCAATACCTATCTACGCTATTCATACGAATTATTGCATTGTTTCCGATTATCTCACACTGCGTTAACAATCACACGCACATCCTAAGCGTAGTCGCACACCTATCGGTTCTCCAGGTTGCTCGCAGTGGCACGATTACACTAAGCATACTGCATCACGTGTGGCTAGATAGGCTAGCGAGCAAGAAGGCAACTTGCATTCAACCCGTAAGCCTACAAATGTTCCCTTTTAACAGGGTTGCAGCCAATCCGCTTCCTATCACCACTCAATTAATTGTCATCACGCTCGTGTAAGCCTTCAAAGCCCCTCTTACAACAGGCTGCAAACGTTACAACCTCAAAAAGCCACCAATCCGCTTCTTATTATCACTCACAGATTTCCTCTCGCCCCCGTGCTAGTGAAACCCCCGTACGCCAGATTGGCAGCATGACCAATCACGTACTATGTCTCCCATTGTCTGATCATCCTGAACACGACGACGAAGCCGCTGGTTAACCAGTGCTATCGAGCGCTTGCTGTAATGTTACCTGAGCTTTGGCCTAGTAAACTCGTCGTGTGATCTGGACCACATTGGTTCGCTGCGTATCACGCGATGCACTTTGGGGTCGAGTCTGTGGCCACACCAAAGGGAAGACTAACAAGTGTGACACTGTGCGCGCGTGCAGTCGTATGGACGCTTTCAATCATGTCGATTGGACGGTCTGAATCCAGAGAGAACGCCTCGGCTTTCCTTCAGGCGCGCATTGGTGCGGCACAGAAGTTGCTGGTACTTTTAAACAAGAGCATATTTTGGAACGATTGTTTTGTTTAAAACTACCTACAGGCTGGTAGTGGGCTTGCAACTTCGCCGTACCATTCAATCCGTTTGTCGGTCGCCTGTCTGTTGATCGCAATCGGTGTATCAGCACACTTCAATGGTGTCAAGGATGATCAGCCAATGGGAGACATAGTACGTGATTGCTCATGCTGCCAATCTGGCGTAAGGAGGTTTCACTAGCACGGGGGCGAGAGGAAATCTGTGAGTGGTAATAAGAAGCGGATTGGTGGCTTTTTTGAGGTTGTAACGTTTGCAGCCTGTTGTAAGAGGGGCTTTGAAGGCTTACACGAGCGTGATGACAACTAATTGAGTAGTGATAGGAAGCGGATTGGCTGCAACCCTGTTAGAAGGGAACATTTGTAGGCTTACGGGTTGAATGCAAGTTGCCTTCTTGCTCGCTAGCCTATCTGGCCACACGTGATGCATAGTGTAATCGTGCCACTGCGAGCAATCTGGAGAATCGATAGGTGTGCGACTTACCTTAGGATGTGCGTGTGATTGTTAACGCAGTGTGAGGTAATCGGAAACAATGCAATAATTCGTATGAAGGAGGTAAAGCTAGAACTTGGCAAATAGAATTTTTAAGAAGCTTTACAGCTACAAATTTCTCGTGCTGTTTTTTTCAGTTGGCCGTACACTCATGTGAATAGCCTAGATAGGTATTGCATATGTAGTCGGCGCATTGTATACTAAGATCAAGTTCGCTGCGTAGGTAAGATCATCATTGCATCTGTAGCCATTGTTCCAGAGAGGAGGGTTCCTAATGTGTCGGGGACATAACATTAGTGAGTGTTCGTTCGTCTCCACACCTGTGGGTCACTTCGGTAATCAGTTACCGCTACAGGACACATGGTCCCGCCGTTATGTTAAGGTCGTAAGATGCATGTCAATCCTGCGTTTCAACGCGATATTTACACTTCACTTCCAAGTGATTGATAAGCTTTAAAACTCAAGTGACCCTACGGCCCTGATATGAGGTGCCTACGAGCATTGCATACGCATAGTAAGCATAGAGTTTGGAGAAATTTTCCTCCTTCAACAATGTCTCCGGAATTACCTACTTTCCAATGACAAAATGTTTCCCAATAGTTGCTAAGTCGCTAACAACCTGTGTCACGGCGTGCATACATGAATGCTTCTAAAACTAGCTGAAACAGTGATCCATAGCAGGCTTAGTGGGCGCGGTTGCCTTTGTAAATGATTGCAAACACATTGTAGGAACGCCCGTGGGTGAGACAACAGTGTTTATCTGTTCCAAGTACTTACCTGAAGTACCAGAGTAACATGCTTGCGTCGCCACTAAGCATAAGTCTTGCGTTCTTTCTAGCGGGACGATGTGGCATGTATAAGCACCGTAGTCATCGTGGCCCCTTTAAGTGTTACTTTGTTGAGTAATGCCGATTCTTTGAGCAGAGCATGCCAGTCCATTGACGTAATAGGGTGTTTCCACCTACATTGACTGTGCCTCTAATGGTTCCATTTGGAGAGCCACTTGTTAAAGCGTCTCAACACGTATGGGCGATCATATGGAAGTGAAGCCTAATTATCCTAAGAATACATAGGTTCCTATGACCTTTATATAACGCGATACATGTAGGCACTGAAGTGATAACTGACTAACAAAGTCTCCCATGGGTTAGGAGACAAACGAACATTCATTTACGTCGTGTCAACGCCCCACTTGAAATCCTCTCACATTTTGTTGAGCCATCAACTGTGATAAAGTAAGCAGCCTTAGAATTTTCGTTGTTCAGCTTCAGGTTGGTCTACTAACTTCTGTGGGAACTATGTCCCCCAGGATCGTTGCAATGACATTCGCACACAGTTGTCTAACCGCCTAGCAGCCATTGCTGCACTGTGGAATACAAGTTAGATGGTTGCCTGTCTACGCCACCATGGTTGGGCCGCTGAATAAGCCACCATTAGGTAGCCGCCAGTGATCGCCATAGACCGCTTCATGTGCTGGTTGGTATGTCTGTCCACACTGCTTAAGTCTTAAGATTTGGATAATGTAGCAGCTAGCATGTCCTCCTTTGACACGCATCACAATTTGCCTATTGGTCGGTTTCAGCTTGGAGACCAATCATCGAGTTTTACTCCAGAGGGGCATCGAGGTTTACTCTAGAGGGGCATCAAGGCAGAACAGAAAGTGGTGGTCGACCACTTTCATTGGACTGTCTGTCTCTTATGCTGGCAGCTTCTAACCGGTGTCCCATTGGTTTACGTCCCATAACCAATGAGAGTGTCAAGGACGCCAAATCAGCGTTCTCAGCCCCGCTAACTTGAAAGTACCGCACGCTATTTCGAAAATGAACCACGCTAAAAGCTTGGTACAATACGCTAATATGCGTGTAAAATGGTATAGATGCTCCATTGTAACAAGCAAATAAAATAATAGCTAGGTGAGAAGA